CATCATTTTCAAAGCATTCTCTTCCCACCTGAGCCCCTGCTATCAGCTCCCCATTTCTTCCCCCTTCCTCGCTCCCTCACGAACCATTGATAAGTTATAGCTTGTTATTTTCATATCTTACATTGCCCTCCGTCACCCCTCACCCACTTTTCCGTTGTTCATCCCCCTGAGTTGGGGGTTCTAGATTGATCCTTGTGATTGGTTCCCTCTTTCTCCCCCCACCCTCCCCTAATCCTCCTGGTATCTCTACTCATTGTTAGCCATGAGGGGTTTATCTATCTTGGATCCCCTGTGTTTTGGGCTCTGGTCTGTAGCAGTGTGCATGTTCTGGTCTTAACTGATTTGTAAGGTAGAATTGAGGCCAGAATAGTGGGGTGAAGGAAGCACCTGAGAACTAGAGGAAAGGTGTGTGTTCCATCGGTGCTATACTGCACCGACTGACTCATCTCTTCCCTGTGACCGACCCCTCTGTGAGGGGATGTCCAATTGCTTATTATTGATTGCTTTGTTAATGGCCAATTTATTCAGCATTGTCACTCACCTTGCTTTCACTCATAGTCATTGGATAATCATGAACTCCCTTCCTGGCTGTTCATTAGAAAACAAATTCTAAAAGCAGAATTTTCAAATATGTTCAGTATCACCTATATTATGGCTGGAATAGTATCGACATGACTGCCAAACTTCTAGTGTATCAACTCACCCTTGGGAACCTCTGACAAGATCTTTCTATCCTGGTGGAACCCACCATGTTCCATCAGATATGAATAGGTGTTCCCTTCACAAATGTCCCAGGATCCGGTATCAGGCATCAGAAGACCCCAAAACAATCATCGATGCAAATGAGAGGGGTCAGGGTGGAGACCCAAAGCCCATCTGTTGACAATTGGACATCCCCTCACAGAACGGTCACAAGGAAGGGATGAACCAGCCAGGGTGCAATATAGCACTGACAAAACACACAACATTCCTCTAGTTCTTGAATGTTTCCTCTCCCACACTATCAGGAGTCCAGTTCTACCTACAAATCCAGTGAGATTTGAGCATGTCCATTGATACAGATAAGAGATCTAGACACATGGAATCCAGGACAGGTAAACTTCTCAGGAACAGTAATGAGAATAGCAATACCCTGAGTGTAGGGGGAAGGTGGGAGAAAGAGGGAACCTATTGCAATGATTGACATATAACCACCACCCGAGGGGCTCAAATAACATAAACATGGGTGAAGGGAGACAGTGGATGGTCTAAGATATGAAAATAATAATATATAATTGATGACAGTTTTACAAGGGAGGGAGGGCAAAAAGAGGTGATACCAAGGGCTCAAGTAGAAAGAAAATGTCTTGAAAATGATGGGAACATATGTGCAAATATGCTTGGTACAATTGATGTATGGATTGTTCTAAGCTGTAAGAGCCCCTAATCAAATGATTTAATTAAAAAAAAAGTCCCGGGTAAAATAAGCTTGATCCGCAGCTAGATTTACAAAGTAGTATTAAGTTTGGTTTTTAAAATAGGGCTACTCAAGAGTTTTTTATATAATAATGAATATTGTAAGCCTCTAAACTCATTTAGTATATATTGTTCCCCACACTTACTGGACCACTAGACCCTTCATTTACATAACACCTATTAACATGTCTTCAGGAGAGAGTTGAGAACATGAAAGAATGAGATAAAGCAGTCACTCTGACTGGTTCCTTAGGAATTTTAGAACATAATTCTTTCCTCGATGCTTTGTTAAGCTCGGGTGAAAGGTGGATATGAGACTGATAATATGCTTAGTAAGGTAAGAAAGAGGTAGGTGGGTCCACCATCATCTTGTTACATCGAAAGTATAAGCATAAAGATTACAAAGTGGTCAAAATTTTTTGGAATTTTTTTTTAAGATTGCAATTGATCATCTATAGTACAAATTCAAGAACCAGCTATGAGCAGCTAACAATTATCTTGGATCATATTTCTCTCTTTTTAAAAAAGTCATTTTATTGGGGGCTCATACAACTCTTATCACAGTCCATATATCCATCCATTGTGTCAACCACATTTGTATATTTGTTGCCATCATTGTTCTCAAAACATTTGCTTTCTGCTTGAGCCCTTGGTATCAGCTCCTCATTTTTTTCCTCCCATCCCCACTTCACCTTCCCTCGTGAACCCTTCATAATTTATAAATTATTATGTCATATCGTACACTGCCCAACATCTCCCTTCACCCACTTTTCTGTTGTCCATCCCCCAGGAAGGAGGTTATGTGTAGATCCTTGTAATTGGTTCCCCCTTCTACTCCACCCTCCCAGTATTGCCACTTTCACCACCGGTCCTGAGGGGTTCATCTGTCCTGAATTCCCTGTGTTTCCAGTTCCTATCTGTACCAGTGTACACGCTCTAGCCTAGCTAGGTTTGTAGGGTAGAATTTGGATCATGATAGTGGCAGTGGGGAAGCATTTAGGAACCAGAGGAAAGTTATATGTTTCATTGTTGCTACAGTGCACCCTCACTGGCTCGTCTCCTCCCTGTGACCCTTCTGTAAGGGGTTGTCCAGTTGCCTACAGGTGGGTCTTGGGTCCCCAATCTGCACTCCCCCTCATTCAGGATCATATTTCTCATCTGTGACCTAGAAACAAGAGGTTTGAAGAAGGACACACTCAAGCAGATTAGGATCCATTGTTCTAATGCATGCCTATGTGTACATGCTATCTAGTACCATAACTACTAGCCACATGGGCCATTTATTGTTTTATTTTTTTAAAGATCATTTTATTGGAGTCTCTTCCAACAATCCATACATCAATTGTATCAAGCATATTTGTATATATGTTGTCATCATTATTTTCTAAATATTTACTTTTGGTTTGAGTCCTTGGTTATTTGAAAATGAAAGCTAATTGTAGATAGAAAGAACCCTGGTGGCATAGTGGGCTAGTGGCTTCTATCCACCAGATTAGCAGTTTGAACCCATCAACCTGAGAAAGTTGAGGCTACCTGATTGCATAAATATTGACAGCCTCCTCCCTTAGCACAAGAACACTTTAATAACATGGTACTCACCTTTCTGACATGATTGCTGAAGACAAAATGGGTGCATAAGCAAATGTAGTGAAGAAAGTGGATGGTGCCTGCCTTGAAGATAAACAAGCAGTTATCTAGCAGGGAAGCAAATAAGCCCACAGGGAAGAAGCACACTAGCTGTGTGATCATGAGGTGTTGAGGCGGTCAGGTATCAAAAGATCCCAAACAAAACAATTATATCAGTGTTAAAGAGGGGGGTTTGAGTGGAGACCCAAAGCCCATCTGTACACAATTGGACATGCCCCCACAGAAGGGTCATAAGGAAGGAAGGATTCAACTAGGGTGCACAGCACCGATGAAACACATATCATTTCTCTCATTCCTGGATGCTTCCCCCACCCCCACTCCCGACTACCACGACCCAGTTCTACCTTACAAATCTGGCTAGACTGGAGTACACACATCGATATAGATAAAAGTTCTTGACAATGGAATTCAAGATAGATAAAATCCTCAGGAACAGTAGTGGGAGTAGTAATAGCATAAGGGTAGGGGGGGGGGGGGAGCAGGGGGAGAAAGAGGGAACCCCATCACAAGGTTGGGTATATAGCTCCCCCCAGGGAGATGAATAACAAAAAGATGTGTTAAAGGAAGACAACAGACAGTGTAAGACATGAAAGAACAATAATAATAATATACAATCAAAGTTTCACGAGGGGGAGTGGGGGAGGAACTGATACCAAGGACTCAAGTAGAAAGAAACTGTTTTGGAAATGTTGATGGCAACATATGTACAAATGTGTACATGCTTCTGGAACCCAAACACTAAGGCAAGGAGTGATTTAATTTTTTAAGGGAGTCATATTTTGATAATTATGATGGAAGAGGTTAAAGTACTTGTATTAATAATATTTAAATATTTGAATGACGAGCCATTTTAGGTTCTTGGATTTGTTTGGTAGGGGGGAAAAATTCTTTTCTATTAACAGAAAAAAGGAATCCATCGTTGCTCAAAATGCAGACTACAATTTTTGACCTCCAAGGAGAAGGCTGAGCACAAAGTACAGCATCGGACATTTTTAAAGCCGAAAGAACTAGAAGGATTGCCTCCTGGGACAAAAGTGAGTTTTGAATTTGTCAGAATTTAATATTTTTGTATGGTACAGTAAAGGAACTCCCATCTGATTTTTTATTGATTGATTAAATGAATGAATATTAAAACTTAATTTCTAGCCCTTATTAAAGCTTTAATTTTCAGTTTTATATTTATATTTGGGAAGACAAACTAACCTTTTTCAGTTCACTCACATGTGATACAGTATTCTTCGTTAGTAGTATATCTAGATGAACTATAGTCTGAGTCAATCTGGTTTCATTGTTAAATGGACTGTCTTTGAATTATGTCAATTGGTAGTGCACCTATCTGTTTTACTGCTAGACTGTAAGGTGTTTGCAACAGAACTTTGTTTACTCCATCTTTTGTGTCTTCAGCATCTGCCATTGTCACTTGAATGCCATAGGTTTGCTGAAGTTGTTATTATGGAATCTTCTCTCAAGAAACAAGGTCTTCCCCTGGATAGCATTGCTATTTTAAGTGAGCAAACACATGTCTGACTGTACACATGATCCTTGTCATTTCTTTCTCCCTGATTGCCTTATATGTAACTGTTTTCTCTGACTTCTCTTAAATACTTGCTCCGGTGGAGGGACACAGAGGTATGCATAAGCCCAAATGAAATAATCCCCAAACATCTTTGTTTGGCTTTAAATACTTAACGTTGGAATGTGGGTATGTCCCCTATTTGAATTAAGTAAAAGAATGTCAAGCCATACTCTGAAGACTTTCTCCAGTATTTGCAATCCAGCCATTCTGTACTGACACTTTCCATTTAGAACACTAATGTAAGCAGTATAGCCCTTTCTCATAGCTTCATTTAATGATACTGATACTCAATGTTTTAGAGCACTTTAAGCCTTCAGTGTGCTTTTATAAATGCATTTCTATTCTTTAATCTGGAGTCCTGATGATATAGTGGATTAAGCAGTGGACTGCTAACCGCAAAGTCATCAGTTGAGTCCACCAATTACTCTGAGAGAAAGCTGAAGCTAGCTGTTCCCATGAAGATTTACAGCTTTGGAAGCCCCAAGGAGCAGTTCTGCTCTGTCCTATAGGGCTGCTATGTAGTTGGAAACAACTAAATGGCATTGGGTGTGTTTGTATTATTATTTAATCCATACAACAAGCTAATGAGGTACGCAAGGCAGATATCATTTCCCTGTTAGAGATGAGGAGAGTTGGAATTGATCAATTACCCAAAGTCACACGGCTAGGAAAAGGTAGTGCTGAGATTTCGCCTAGTCTTGACACCTTGCCCAGTGCTTTTTGTATTTCATAGGCTGCTTCCTCAAGTACATGGGATGGGGGAAGGGACAGAGTATAGTCCCACAAGTAAAAAGAATGTTTGCTGGGTGATAGTTTTCCATGATCAACCAGTGGATGCAATCAAATATTTTCCTTTTCTAAATAGTAAATGATAGATGTTATATATCTAAAGAAATTCTGAATATCATGAAATTCCCCCTGGTGCATTGTGAATTTGTCACCTGTTACATAACCTTTGGAAACAAACCCTGCCTCATGAGCCCTTGGCAAGAGAAGGTCAAGTTTCCAGAGACTTGCTTGTTTTCAATAGTTTTCAGGGGCACTGCAGGCCTTTCCAGAGTGAATGTTTTTGGCTCTGAGATTTCCCTTTTGACTTCTATAGCTGTAGCAGTCTCAGTATAGCATTGCATTAAAATAGCCCAGGGAATGGCTTCTTTTGATACTCATATAATCTGCAGTAGCTCCTAATTAGCCATCAGCATCTGGGTTAACATAAACTGCTATGTGGTGTCACCACCACTGTAAAAAAATACCAAGGTAAATTTTACTCAATTGGTATAACTTTTTAGATGAAATTCAAAACTTAACCCGATGATAGATTTTGGTGGAGAAGAATCAGCACAATTCCAATCCCCAGAATAGGAAGATGGATCTGATCTATATTTTCCCATTTTTCAAATCATGTCTGACCCTAGCCACCCACATGGCATACTGTGACCCTAGCCACCTGCTGAAATATGCTGACACAATCAAAGGTTTGGAGAGGCCACATAATTCCCTCATTGTCACCTGCTGGTCACCCTTTTTGGTCTTGGAAATTTGCTGGAACAACTCACAGAAAGCACTGTGCACATTTCTATTCACTTCCCAGCTATATATAACATTGTGCTTTTTTTACAATAGTTCAAAATATGAGCTATTTTTCGAATTAGTGACTTCAACATCTTTGTCAACAAGGCTGAGATGTAGGGCAAGAGTGACGCTAGCTCTTATGCATCCATTTGGCTGGGCTGTGATTCTCCATGATTCATTGGGCACGTCATGATGTGGCCAGACCCCAGTTTTACCTAACATCAATTTTGCAAAATCCCTGAAACAATCGAATCTGTAAGTGAGAAATGGGTATGCTTACAGCCATGCATTTATTAATGGTAAAAGGATAGTAGTCAGGATAGTTGTAAGAAAGAACTGCACAGGGGAGACCTGGGAGGGTTCCCAAAGAGGTACTTCTGGGTCTCCGCGTGGGTATGTTACCTTCCCTTTGCCACTCAGGAAATTCTCTGAACCTTCCTGTTCTGGGCTTCTGTGGCCCAGCCCTTCATAACAGATTGAGTCATGCCTTCTGAGACTGGTTGATACTGGTCTCCCAGGTAAGTCTTCTCTGGCTTGACAAACCCCCTGCCTGCCAGCACGGCTCCTTAGGTGTGGCCTCAAGGTCGCAGACCAAGACTCTTTCTTTGAGGGTTATTTTCAGGAACCAAATTTGGTAAAGTCCAGTTGACTCTTGAATTATGTATTGCAATTTTTTTTCATCATGGCTTTATTGAAATAAAATTCACACACAATTTAATTAATTCACCTACTTAAAGCATAGAATCCCATGTTTTTGCTCATATTTAGAGCTGGGTAAATACCAAAACCAATTTAAGAACATATTCATTACCTTCACACAAGCCCCATACCCATTAGCTGTCCCTCCCTGGCTCCCAGGCTCTGACAGCCATTAATTTGTGTTGTGTCTCTTCACTTGCTGACTACTCAGGATCTCTCTCAGCAATGGAATCATGCATTATGTGGTCTTTGGGGGCTGGCTTCTTTTCCTTAGCAGAATGTTTCCAAGGGTCAATCATATCATTGTATGTACAAGGGGGCTGCAAAAAGTTCATGGGAGAGTGGAATTGAAAGATAAAAGAATTTTCCCATAAACTTTTTGGAATTTCCTCACATATAAGCACTCCATTGGTCAAATCATATTCCATTATATGAATACCATATTTTGTTTACCCATTTCGTATGGATATTTAAAATGGGTTATTTCAATGCTTGTTGCCTATCATGAATAATATTGCTATCAATATTCATGTGTAAGTTTTTCTGTGAACAATTTCCTGAGTCTATACCTCGGGATGAGAATCCTGGTGGTGTGGTGGGTTATGTGTTGAGCTGCTAGCCACAAGGTCATCAGTTTGAAACTCGATGGGAGAAAAGTGAGGCTCCCTACACTTGTGAAGATTTATAGCTCAGCAACCCACAGGGGCAGTTCTACTTTGTCCTATAGAGTTGCTATGAGTTGGAATTGATTCAATGGAATTGAATTTTTGATTTTAGAATTGCTGGGTCATGTGTTACCCCTGAAGGAGCCATGTGGTACAGTGAGGGGGGCGGGGGGGTAAAGCATTGGACTCCTATCCTAAAGGTCAGTGGTGCAAATCCTGTAACAATTCCATAAGAGAAAGATGAGGCAGTTTGCTTCCATAAATGTTTACAGCCTTAGAAACCCTATGGAATAGTCTATTCTGTCTTAGAAAGCTGCTATGAGTTAGAATCAACTCAATGGCAGTGTGTTTGGTTTTTTGGTAATGTGGTCCTACCTCAGTCTTTTTGAGGAAATGCCAAACTGTTTCCCAAAGTTATTGTTAATCATTTTTTTCTATTCACATATATTAGGTGTCATATTTTTTTAAGTATTTCCTGACCCAGGGGTACATTTTCTTCTAAGAGTTTTAGAGTTTTTAGCTCTTACAACTTAAGTCTTTGATCGTTTGAGTGAATTTTTAGTTATAGTACGAAAAGTGGGTCAACTTAATTCTTTTGCATGTGGATACCCAATTGTACTGACACCATTTGTTGAGAAGACTTTTCTTTCATCGTTGAATTGTGTTGGCACCCTTTAATGGCAGTTGCCTCTGCTTCTCCAATCAGTTTATCAGTAATAAAGTGATATCTTCATACTGATAGGATCTCATGAATTCGCTAAAATCCTATGTCACCTTGACTTTTATAGGTAACTATCCGTGCTTCGTATGCACCTGTCCCATCAAAACCAGCCACTTCTCCTCCGAGTACTACTCCGAGCACTTCTCTTCAGGTCCCATCTCCCAATTCTAAAATTAAACCTGCTAAAACTGTCACCAAAGTGAATGTAAGGAAGTCTAAGACAAGTAAATCTCGGGCAACTTTATCCACTGCAAGTAAGCGCAAAGCCCGGAAGGCCAGCGGGATAAGAGCTAAACGCAAACCCCAGGCCACTTACAACAAGCAAAAGAAGCAGCGCAACAGAGCAAATAAACTCAGCACAGCTTTGAAGAACCTAAGGTAACTGCTTTTGTTCCTAATAAGTAACACTAATTTCATTTCAAATATTAAATATCCATCTGCCGTGCAGAACTTATTTGCCCATATTCATGTGATACCATTGTTCTGGCATTGAGGCCAAGCAAAAAATTTAAAATACTTAGCACTGTTGTCATCATCTGTTACACGAGCCCTCCAGTCCATCCTACAATATTTGAGTGGGTTCACTTCGTTTTTATTTCTTGTCTAGCTTGCGCCAAAACAGTGTTTAGCTACTAAGTATTCGCAGATTTTAATTTAAATATATTAACTTCAGTTGATCAGGTGTTACTAAGGCCAGCCCTCATTACTGTTTCTTCTCAAACCGTGAGCATTTTCTCTTGTCTCCACCAGGTTTCGTCGTGGAACTCACAAGTGCATTGAGTGTCGTTGGAAAATAAAAGATTTTGCAAGCCACTTTTCTACGTTTGTCCACTGTAAAGTTTGCAAATACAACACGAACTGTAACAAAGCTTTTGTGAATCACATGATGAGGTGAGTTAAACATGTAAATTTCCCAGTAGCATTTTCCTTGAGGAAGGTTGTGTCTGGAAAACTGAGTTAGCCTAGTGGAAGCCACTTTGGCTTGGCCTGGAGCTAAAACGGTGTAGCATCAACAGGAAACTTCTGCTATATGCTCCCCAGCCCTTTCCCCTCATCCACCAGCACTGATTTCTAGCAGATTAAGTCAAGAAATTTCTGGCACAAAAATGATCAGGCCCATTCAATTAATGAAATTAGTATCGATTTGTGAGGGAAATTTGGTTTGCTGTGGGAATTTTTTTTTTAGAAAGACTTCAAAAATAGTTCTTTTCTAATAGAACACTGAATGGTGTCAATATTTTGATGAAATAAATACATATAACCAGGTGAATTTCAAAGCAATGACTTTGAGAGACTCCACGTCTTTGGCTGGAGTTAAAATCATTGGGCTGGGGGGTCTCCACTTATTTGTGTGCCCTTTCTTCCATCCATCCATCCATCTGCATGTTCATTCAGTAGAAAGAGGCTGAGGGAAATTTCAATCCTGTTGCTACTATTGGCATTCCTTCTCAGACATTGATTCCATTGTATTAGCAGAGCAGCTATCATGGCCTCCTGTGTGAGGCAAAGCCCACAATACCCACATCCTTTCATTTGTATCTCCTGAGTAAAAAATGCTCACTTTATTCTCCTTCAGGGTGTTTTAATTTTCTTTTCCTTAAAGAGCCAGAACTTAATCAGATATAAATTGAAAACCTTGATCATTCAAATTAAGGCTATTCCAGAAATAATTGAAAAATCAAGAAAAGGGGTTTTCTTGCAGATCCTCATATGGCTTCAGTATTCTTTTCTGATCAGAATCCGCCCTGGCCTTTGAGGACACAACCACCTCTCAGCTGGCTGCTGCACTTGTCTCTCTCGGGACTTTTCCTCTGGAGATTAGCCTGACCTCATGCCCCCTAACTTCTTTAGTACCAGCACTTCCCATTACACTTTTCTTACCACAGCCCCATTTGAACCTCCTGACATGTAGTACTCGATTCATTTTGAATTCTTATTCGCCGGTGTCTTTTCAGGACCTGTTCCCTCTTTCTAGCCCAGCGGCGCCCATCAAACTTATTATCTGTCTAGGATATGACTTTGTTTGATCCTGGAGACCAGCCTGTCCTCGGTCTTCCCTCCTGGCTGGTTTGCCTCTTGGATCTTTCTCTGTGCTCTGCTTTTAAATGACCACACACAACTTGATTTAAACAGCTCTGAATTCATGATCCTTGCCTTTTTGGGAGCCCTAGTGGCACAGTGGTTGCACATCTAATGGTTACATGTCGGGCTGCTGACTGCAAGGTCGGCACTTCAAAACCACCGTCCAGTTGGGTGAGAAAGACTCTGCTTTCTACTCCCATAAAGAGTTTGAGTCTCAGAAACTCACAGGGGCAGTTCTACCCTATCCTATAGTGTCACTAGGAGTCAATTCAATTGCAGTGAGTTAGGTTTTAATACCTCTATTTTTTTTGTGTGTTTTAAATGCTTTTATTCCTTTTTTTTAATCGTTTTATTAGGGGCTCACACAACTCTTATCACAATCCATACATACATCAGTTGTGTAAAGCACATTTGTACATTCATTGCCCTCATCATTCTCAAAACATTTCCTCTCCACTTAAGCCCCTGGCATCAGGGCCCCATTTTTTCCCCTCCATCCCCACCCCCCCTCCCTCATGAACCCTTGATAATATATAAATTATTATTTTGTCATATCTTGCCCTGTCCGACGTCTCCCTTCACCCACTTTTCTGTTGTCCGTCCCCCAGGGAGGAGGTCACATGTAGATCCTTGTAATCAGTTCCCCCTTTCCAACCCACCCTCCTTCTATGCTCCCAGTATCACCACTCATACCACTGGTCCTGAAGGGATTATCCGCCCTGGTTTCTCTGTGTTTCTAGTTCCTATCTGTATTCGTGTACATCCTCTGGTCTAGCCAGACTTGCAAGGTAGAATTCTGATCATGATAGTCAGGGAGTGGGGGGTGGGAGGAAGCATTTCGGAACTAGAATTACCTCTATTTTTATCTCTAAATGTCACTATAAACTTTTTTCAGTAACGTCAAGAATTTATGCTTGTCTCCATTGTTAACCTTGTCCTACTATTTACTCCATTTATCCTCTTCATCGTACCCCAAATTACTTTTCTTTTGAAGTCACTCTTTGCTCACCATCCTACTGTCAGTCTCCCACTTTTCCCCTTAATCGCCCGTCCCCCATCCTCTCCTGTTCCCTTCACTTTATTTCTTCTGTTTCGCCCACATTCCTTCTGCCTCCCATTCTCAGGCATATAATTTAGAATGAGGGCCTGTTGCATTTACTAGGCTTATATTCTTGTCTTCTTTCTGCCATCAGCATTTGCAAATGGCTTGTTATTTTTTTTACCCTTTGTAATTCAAGTAGTGCCCTTACTTAACCAGCTAAAACTGCCTCTGGACACAATTAGCCACAAGGTCCTAATCAGTAAGTATAAGGATGGTACATGCCAGCCAGGGCTAGTGCTTTTCCAGCTTTTAGCTTGCAAGAGACTAACCTGAAGGGCTTGCTTCAGAAGATTCTTGGAGGCTACTAATCGCAAGGTTGGCAATTCAAAATCACCAGCCACTCTGCGGGAGAAAAATGAGGCTTTCTACTCCTGTAAAGAGTTACAGTCTTGGAAGCTCACATGGGCTGGCTCTACCCTTGTCCTACGGGGTCACTATGAGTCAAAATGGACTGGAAGGCAGGGGGTTTGGTTTGGGGGTTTGAGAGCGATAATGGTGGCGAGTGTGAAAAATGTGATTGATGTGACCAGAAGTAGTTGGATCAGCAAATGTTTGGGTGTGTATATTTTCACCCCAATAATTTTTTTACAGATTCCTAAACCCCATTTTCAGAGATAGGTTTCAGCCGTTTGCATTTCTAGTGAGCTCCCAAGTGATAAGTGCCTTTACTGTACTTCTCTTAATTAACACTGTGCTAGGCAAATCTCGCACCTGGCTCTCCAGGCCCGGAAACCTGCCCCTATCCACTTCAGAGGAGGTGTCAGAGTTCTCCCCAGTGATGAGAAACTGTGGCTAATGCCAAGCGACTCGTTGGAGGAGCATTGCTTCAACTCAGGAGCTCTGCTTCGCTTCAGTTGCTTTCCTTAAAAGTGACCCATCCTCATAATTTCTCTTTTTTTTTTTTATTCCTCCTTATAATTTCAAAGAACTTTCTAAATGTTTGGTTTTCCAAATGATAAGCAGTGGCAGTTGCCTCAGGTGATAATTACTTCTAAGATCTTATGGCTTCTCCACCTGCACCTGCCCCCTTCCCTCACACCCACCCAACCGTATTAAGGTAAGAAAATAATTATTACCATTAACAATTTATATTGTAAACATAAGTTATTAGCAAGTATTTAGTAACTTACCGTAAAAGAAAAGTAATCCGGTCTCTCTTGTCTCTCATCTTTCCAGCTCCCATAGCAACCATCCCAGTAAACGGTTTTACATTTTTAAGAACAGTATGGGAATTCCCAGGTAACCAGTTGATTTTCTTTCCTTCTTTCCATAGACAAACAGTGGTCACTTTGGACTCCTAATTTTGGGGTGCTTAGTTTGGAAATGTAAATGAATGCTATTGGGCAGAACAGCCCCTTGGTTCTGGTCATTTGATTCTGAAACCAAAGTTGGGGTGGGATGGTGAGCAGCCTCTTTGCTCAGGCTAGACTTGACGCCAATGATGTCAGTCCTTGGGGTGGGAATTTCATTTGCATTGCAAAATAAGAATAAAAATCAAGTCTTCCAACAATATTCACGTATAAAAAAGACATTTAATAGACCCAGTCAAGTAACTCCATCCTTCCCCCAACCACTGGTCTCTCAGCTTGTCACACAGCGACATGGCATTTCTGTGTCAGGGATGCTAGGAGCTGTGCCACTAGCATATCAAATAGCAGCAGGAACACCTGTGGTAGATAGGTTCCAGCAGAGCTTACAGATGAGGAAAAAAGGCCTATCAAGCTACTTCTGAAAATTAGCCACAGAAGTTCTTCCAGATCACAACAGACTATTGTCTGAGAAAGTACTGGAAGATGAGCCCCCTAGGTGGAAAGACACTCAAGATACACAGCAGCAGTGGGCTTGCGAATGCCAACCAGCATGAGAATGGGGCAGAGGGGAGGCTGGAAGGTACAGCAATATGGCCCTTGTGAGGGTCTGTTCTATATGAGGGTCGAAGTAAATTATTAAAACTCGAGTGGTTCTTGAACTATATAACCTTCATAATTACTGGGTGGTTTCTGTTCTTTTGGAAGTAAAAATCCACAGCCTATTCTCAGCAAGAACATTTGATGAATGAATGGTTAGGGTTATACCACATACCTCAGCATCCACTGTTTTCCCCTGTCCTTGCTTGCTTTAGTTATTTTGCTCATGTACCAGATGTAGGTATATGTAAGCTTAGCCACTACTTAATGTCATGCTTTGGTTCATGGAAAAGATGGAAGAAGGAACAATGTCGTCACGGTCTTTGTATCTGTCATTCCCTCTGCCTGCTTTACTAGTTCAAGACCAGCCTGGTTGACTCCCTCACACCCCATATCCCTGTCTTCCACTCGTGCCTTTTCTTTATAGCCACCTTTTCACAACTTGCCATAATCTACATTGTGCTGTTTTGTTTATGGCAGTGTCTTCTTTCTATATTGGTTTTTGCCAGTTATTTTCCAGGCATTGAATAATGCCTGGCACACAGTAGGCAATCCGTAAGTAGGCGATGAATCAATTCGTGTCCGTGTTGAAACCATCCTCTGTGAGTGGTGGGCTCCATCTACAAAGCTGAACCAATCACTTGCAGCCAGAGAAAAGCTGGGCTGTGTCCTTTAAATAGGCTGGTGCTATTGTTAAAGCGGAATCTACTTATTACTGGATGCAGAGAATGAGAAAAGAATAAGCAGTGTTAGATGGCATTCCTGTAAAGCGTGTGTGGGAATGAGAGGGCTGTGGTGCATTTCTAAAGATGCGAGTGGAATTGTCCCCTATGCTTCCCAAGCTTAGTTGTGTGCTTAGTGTTTAGGTGAATTGCATGGTTTTAAAGGCCTGAGAAGCCTTTTCTCAACCTGAGGAGGACTCAAATTTAAGTTGAGTATTGGTCAATTTGGGAGTGTGGGACTTAACATTTTAATGTGGCATCATTCTATCGAACTATAATTTTGAGAGATAATTCATATATTGTCAGGATGAAATGTTCATTCTTTAGCTATTTATAGTGCACTTATCACGTGTAACCCAGCATAAAGAAGGCAGTGAAAAGGACAGCATCTTGGCCCCACCCCTCTGAGTATGTATAGTGTAGTAATTGAAAATAACAGCATATGTGAGCATGACTGCAAGAATACAAGGAGGTTTCTGAAAGTGCAGGGAGCCTTTGATCTCTAAAGGAAGAGAGGCTTCTACTGATCAGAAGAGCCACGAGAGTATTCTAGTTGGAAGAAATACCCTGAATAAAGATCCCAAAATGAAAATATAGAGAGCATACATGGAGAATTGCTAATGAAAAAGATCTACGTTATGTAGTAGTAAAACCCAAATCTCGGGGGAAATAGCTTTTCTTGGCCCTTTGGTGTAGATCAAGTGCAAAGTCCAAGGGGAAGTGCGTTTTGAAAATAGGTCTCAATTGCAAATGCCTTGAAAACAGGCTAGGGAGTTTGGCCTGACTTTAGAGGCCAGAGGTAAACCAGCAATGTGCAGAGTAGACTTGAAAGAAGCTTTGAAAGGGGTGCCAGGTGGGTTGTAGTTGCATGGGGCACAGAGACTAGTTAGGACTATTGTTACCTGCTGGTTTAATACAAACCCATGTCAAGAGAGGAGATGAGGTGATATTAGAGCTTGTTTAAGAACATGAACTCCGGAATTGGGGATGGGGGTGGATGGGAGGACATAGGGTTCAAATGGGTCCTGGCTCTCCCCTTTATAAAAAAAGGCCATTATTTATAGCCACTTGTCCCTTTAGGTTGTAAGGTTTTGATGAGAAATGTCTGAGCCCTCAGTCTGGCCAGGCTGATGATGCTCAATAATTATTAAAAATTAATCTTATCCTCTATTTCCTTTTACTTTCCTCCTGCCCCACTATCATGTTTTCATTCGTGTTTTGGTAATTCCTCTTGGGTACATTGCTCTTACTGAGCCCCCACTCCCCCCCAAAAAAAATTAATCTTCTAAAATATTTGAACAACTGAATGTTTTAAGGAAGAAGGGAGTCTGAGGCAGCTACAGCTGTGCCACCTCGGTGGCAGGGTCAATGGCACCGGAAGCTGAATTTCAGGGGTGGGTTGTCCCTGATTTTAGTTTTATGAAGATCACGTTCAGTGTGTAAATAGACAGGAGCCTTGGGGGATCCAGGAGTGTAAAATCTATTGCTTGTTATTCCAGTGCACGATGAACTTCAAAGATGTATGCTCAGCTACCATGATCTTTTCTTCAAGTCTGCATGTTTCTTTTCTCATTTTATACTCACTTAAATAAGACACCAGACTGTCAGCTCCATTAGCACACAGACTCTCCCCTTCTTTGTTCACCGGCGTATCCACAATACCTAGTAGCACAATGTGTATGTGAAGCAGGTCTTCAATAAACACGTAAGTCTCAGCTCTGCAGATGCGTAAAGGCACAAAAAGATGATGCATTTCCCCGGTTACTCACAAGACTAGGCTGTTAGTCTGTTGGCTACTAGCTATTAGCAACTACTGTGAGAAGGAATGATTTATAGACACAGACTGTTTTCTGAAAATAAATGGGAGCATACTGTGGACTAGGTGGTGGCATTTTCTAGAGAATTGTGTCAGTTACCCCAAGTTTATATAACGGATAGCAAGTGCCCGTTGTGACAGATAAAAGGGAAAGTGAGGGTTATTGCAGAGAAAAGTTCTTAGAGAATATGTCTGGAGAGTTTCATAAAGGCTGAAAGCCTCTTATTCTACCGCTTTGTTTTTTCGTAGGGGCATTACTCTCGTGTGCCTTAACTGTGACTTCCTAGTTGACGCCTCTGGCTTAGATCTTATGGCTAAACACTTAAGTCAACGTAAAACTCATACTTGCCAAGTTATAAAAGAGAGCGGTATGTATGTAATGCTTTGGATTTGCTTCTTGTTTTTTTAAAACTACTTATTCCAGTCCTTTTGATCAGGCCCAGTCACGGGTTCTTTATGTATTAAATCGATGCCCATCGTGTATACTGTTTTAAATATCTGAAACTCTGCATCTTCCTTTCAGTTTCGGACACTGTCTCGAGATCCAGATCTGCTTCGGCGTAAGTTTCCTATTCCGTCTCGTGCGTTTTCTTTTGATGGATTTTAGCACTGTTAACATTTGTTTAACGTATCATGAAGAGAAATGATGAATATTAAAGTCTTTTGTTTTTGTTTTTGTTTTAAAGCTCCTTGTTGAAATAGGTTCCTGTTCCATGGAGCTCGTGCAACCTGGTGCAAGACAAGTTGGAATTTCCTAAGTTCACAGTTGTGAAGTGTTTTCTTACACCGAGGCAGTTAAACGGCCGCGTTCATGACACTAGCTCTCATTTACTCGGCTTTCAGATGGCACTAGATTCCTATTCCACCTTATATATCTTTGTGTCAGGTTAACATATCTTAACCTATGTTTTGGGGGTTGTTTTTTTATATTCCCCCCCCC